TTCATTTTCTCTCACATATTATGAAATTCTTTGTAAAACCTTTCGACTTTCAATAGGTATATTTCGCCAAATATTTTTCCATTTCCTTAGATTCTATTATTTCTCAATTCTCAATATAACAGATGTATTTCCCATCTTTTTTTTTCAAAAAAGATTTATTGATTTATTCTAGAGAGAGTGCACAAAACCAGAAGGAGGGGGAGAGGGAGAGGGAAAGAGGGAATCTTCAAGCACTGTTCTCTGCTGAGTGCAAAGCCTGTTGTGGAGCTTAATCCCAGAACCCTAAGATCATGACCTGAGCTGAAAACAAGAGTCAGATGCTCAACTGACTGAGCCACCCAGGCGCCCCTGGTTTATTTCTTTAAGTCTCCAATTGAGTCTTTAGGGCAGATATGTTCAGAAATATTCTTTGTTTTTTATTTCTTCAAAAGACATTGTTGCTTTTTTGATGATTTTTTCATAATATAATATCTTTTAAATATTTTTATAGTTTATTTCAAACTAGTTTTAAATATTAATGCAATCTACTTTTATTGATAAAGTATACTATTTAAAAGGAACAGTCTTTGGGAAAAATAAGAAACTGATTCTAATAAATAATAATTAGAGATTTATGAGATAAACTGTGAAAATCAGGTCTAAGCACTTCTGACACCTCTGTTTTGGGTGAGACAGCAGTCAAAGTACCTTCCACTGTAATTTTCCCTCTGATGGTTCTTAACATTTTCTCTTTATTCAAACATTATTAAGTTTAAGTGTGATTATTTTTATTGCCACTTGGGGTATAAGTTCAATTTCAGGACTCATATTTTGTTCTGGAAAATTCTTGTCTATTATCTCTTACACAAGTGCTTCTCTATCATTTCTTTTGGGTTCTCTTATTGATATGAGTAAAATTTTGCTTCTTGACGTAATAGGCAGGTAGGTAGATAGGGAGGTAGGTAGGTAGATAGGTAGAGTCTTAGTCCTATTTGGGCTGCTATAACAAAATATCACAGACTAGTCAGTTTGTAAACAGCAGAAATGTATTTCTCACAGTTGGGGAGGCTGGTAAGTCTAAAATGAATGTGGTAGCATGGTCACCTTCTGGTGAGAGCCTTCTTCTTAGGTTATAACTGGTGCCTTCTCACTCTATCCTCACAGAGTGGAAGGGGCTAGAGATCTTTGTGGGGTCTCTTTTATAAGGTACCAATTGCATTTGTGAAGGCCCCAGCATGATGACTTAATTGCCTCCCAAAGGCCCCACCTCGTAATACCATTTTTGGGTGTTAGAATTTCAACATAGAAATCTTGAGAACACACCAACATTCAGATCAGAGTAGATAGATAGATAGATGATAGATAGATGATAGATAGATAGATAGATAGATATTAATATTGGATTTGTCTGTGGGCTGCATTCTGCATAGTCTACATCAATACTGTCTTCAATCACATCGAGGCTAGCATTTAAATGCTTTGTTCTTTTTTTAAAATTTCAATGATGGGTAGCCCAGGTGGCTCAGCGGTTTAGAGCCTCCTTCAGTCCAGGGTGTGATCCTGGAGACCCAGGATCAAGTCCCACCTCAGGCTTCCTGCATGGAGCCTGCTTCTCCCTCTGCCTGTGTCTCTGCCTCTCTCTCTCTCTCTCTCTCTCTCTGTCTATCATGAATAAATAAATAAAATATTTAAGAAATAATAAAAATAAAATTTCAATGACTATTTTTGAAATTATTTTCAAGGTTTTTGAAGGGTTCTTTTATTTTTTATTTTTTAAGTTTTTTTTTAATTTTTATTTATTTATGATAGTCACACAGAGAGAGAGAGAGAGAGACGCAGAGACATAGGCAGAGGGAGAAGCAGACTCCATGCACCGGGAGCGCGACGTGGGATTCGATCCCGGGTCTCCAGGATCACGCCCTGGGCCAAAGGCAGGCGCCAAACCACTGCGCCACCCAGGGATCCCTGAAGGGTTCTTTTAAATATTTATTTTTTTCTTATTTATCTTTAAAATCCCTTTTCAAACATCTATTAACATTTCAGAGATTTCTATTTATCTCTGAAAGTATAATTCACACACTGACTTTTGTTTGATGGATTTTTTTTTTAATTTTTATTTATTTATGATAGTCACAGAGAGAGAGAGAGAGAGGCAGAGACACAGGCAGAGGGAGAAGCAGGCTCCATGCACCGGGAGCCAGACGTGGGATTCGATCCCGGGTCTCCAGGATCACACCCTGGGCCAAAGGCAGGCGCCAAACCGCTGCGCCACCCAGGGATCCCTTGATGGATTTTTTTTAAGATTTTATTTATTTTATTTATTTGAGAAAATGTGTGGGTGTGGGTGTGTGCATGCGCACATGCAGGATGAGGGGCAAACAGGGAGAAGGAAAGAATCCTAAACAGACTTGCATTGAGAGTGGAACCCATGATTTGGGGCTTGATTCCATAACCCTGAGATCATGATCTGGGCCAAAATCAGGAGTCTGACTTCCTAACCAGTTGCACCACCCAGGTGCCCCTGTCCGATGGTTTTTTAAATTAATTTTACCTGGAAAGAATTCATGATCTTATTGTTGGGTGCTGCCTTTCTTTTTTCTTTTTCTTTCTTTCTTTCTTTCTTTCTTTCTTTCTTTCTTTCTTTCTTTCTTTCTTTTCTTTCTTTCCTTGTTTCTTGTTTCTTTTTTTTTTGAGTGCTGCCTTTCTTAGCATTAGATTTCTTCGTATGTTTCGGAATTTTGTTTTGTGTACTCATTATAAGTAGGAAGTATTTTCTTTCTTTTACTGTAGTTTTCTCACTATGTATGCCTTTCCTCTGCACTCACCCTTTCTTACCTAGCCCTTTTATGTTTGACATCCTCAACCTTCTAGACCAGATTGGTCTTAAAATAGCATTTCTGGACTTCTGTCCCAGATTTATGTTGTAGATATCATAGAGTTAGGCATCAAAACAGCAGATGCTTACTTCATTTTCTGATTGAGAGATTATGTCTATATTCTTCAGCCTTTAAGCCAGAGACCTGGGGTTTTTTGTTTGTCTTCAGCATTTCTAAGCTGCTGGCTTTAGGAAGTGACTTAGAGAACTTTTGAGTATTTATTCTCCAGGAATAGTACTTGTAGCCATCATTCCTATGTCTAGAACTAGAGCCCAGCAGGCTCATAGCTTTATCCTTGCTTTCCATGTTGCATTTCTGGTTCATTTCTAGCCTGGACTAGAAATGGACTATGTCCATTTCTTTTTTGAATACAAACTCTTCTAAAAACTTTTTCTCTTTTTGTAATTGACTGTGTTTTGAGTAGAAGGGAAAAATCAGAGCATAAACTCATGGTGCCATCTTCCCATCTTCACAACAGGACACTAATGAATTTTTGTAGTTATTATTTTAATTTTTTCAACTTCTTTGCCTCTTCAGAGCAGATATACATCTATAACCCCTATTATGCAGACTACAGACATCTTAAGTATATAGTTGTTGCCAACTACTTCTTAGTTTAAGTGATTTTGTTGGGAAAAAAATCAGATTCCTAATCTTAAGGACATTGTATGTATCAGAATATGTCAATATATTTCTGTACATGTATGTTTCAGTGTGCGTATCAATAAATATGTATTTCATACCTATTAGGGTCCTACCCAGTTTATGTACCTATTAATGTGATTCTCTTTCTGCTCTCAATTTGGTCAAGAATATCCTGAATAGGATTCAAGAAATTTTTTTATTAGAAAGAAAGAAATAAAGAAGTTGCTCTTTATTCCAAAATATAGAAAGAAATCTGAAATTTTGAATGATAATTTTGGACTCTACTACAAGAATTCTTCTAACGTTTTCAATCAATTTTATTGCTTGATTGTTTTTAACCTCTTACAAAACACAGATGGCCAGACTTATTCTGTGTAAGGGGTTGAGGGAAAACTAACTAGCCCACTGATGTTTTTATTCTCATGATAGTGTTTCCATGTGGAAATTGGTAGCTCAGGATCATGTCGAGAGCCGGCTGGCTGCTAAGGCCTGTGCTGCTTGTGTCTTGAACTTTGTAGAGTTTGGAAGTCATCAGTACAACTTAGCAGCTCATTCTTTAAAACCAGGAGGGTCTGTATTTTCTTGGCCTCTTTTTTCCAGCAAATATTATAAGACCTTAATTCTCATTGTGGGCTAATTATTCTCTTCTGTTTGCCTGAACCATAATTCAGTGGGAACTATTCCTACTCAAGGAAATGAAGGCAGAAATTATATAATTGAGAATAATAGCTTGAAAGCCATGAATGTCTAGAATTTTGTGTTAAGTCTGATATATACTAGCTTGGTGGTCTTTATAAGCAATTTACTGGGAAAAAAAGTTATTTCCTCCACTTTGAAAGTGGGATCATCATAAAGATTAAATATTTGCTGAATGACAATAGTGAGCTAGTTCCTTAGAAAAATGAGACCTATAGTTAGTACCTAAACATTTTCCAATTAAAAGAGTATGATTTTAACTCAGCTGGTTCTCAATTAGAGAAATTCCAATATATGAAAATTCATATTTAATAAAATAGAAATATTATAAGGATTATTTCCATTATGAATATGTACATTTAATTAAGTGCCAAATAAATATTTTCAAGGGAATCATGATGGACCTGACTGAAGAGAAACTATAGTCATTTGTACTTAGTGCTTTTAATTATTAGTATACTGAAACCTTTAGAAAAGAAATTTTCATAAGAAACATGAAATCTCAACAGCACCAATTTGCAATTAAAGTCTTTATTGATGCTATCCAGGCAGGATGAATAAAAATTCTAAATGTTTTGCGTTCTTAAGTAAATGTTAGATGATTAGACATCTGGTATGGGTTTTATAATTAAATGAAGCTCAAGAGTAATGCTGATAATGCTGGCCTTTACAAATATCTGGTCCCTTTCTTGAAGTTGTTAGTCAAAAACAGTGATAAAATTTGTAGAAATTATTTACTAGCCATTTTGGAATAAGAGAAACAAATACTAAACCACGTTCAAAAAATTATTCTTTGTATTTTAGGCCCTCCGGGGAAACGAGGTAAGAGGGGCCGAAGAGGAGAATCTGGTAAGTCTCTCTTTCAGCTGCTCCTTGTCATTAATGTTTGGGTTAGATTCCTGCATCTGTTCCTCCTAATTAATGATTATATTGTCTTGCTGGAGGTTGGGCACAAGCGTGTGAGTGTTTTTAAATCTTCTCTGCTAGACCTAGAATTTTTCTTTTAATTTTCTTATTTCCATCAAACTGTAGGTAGAAGCTTGGAAAATATTGTTAATTTATTAAGTTTGATAACCACTGGCACCCAATTTTGGATTATTTACTGCATCAGGTTGTTTGTCCTTTCTGGGTATAGTGAAGGGTTTTTTAGCTGCACACAGTGTGGCAATATCACCCATGTTTCTGTCTCCATAGATAGCAAATGCAGGATCTTTATGAAAACATCTGCTTTGGGACACTGGGGCACATGTCTTGGAAAACTTTATTGTTATTTTATCCAACTGGTACAATTTTGTCATGCTTTTACTCTCATTCATTTCAAAATTTTGGAATTTTTATTCCTCTTGTATAACCCTAGAATTTTAGTGATGACAGCAGCCTGAGTAATCAATCCAGCATTTTCATTTTGTAGTTGAGGAAATGGAGGCCCCAGAGCAGTCAGGTGATTGGGCCAAGGCCATTCAATTTTTTATGAGCAGAATTTGAAACAGAACCAATTGTCCTAATGCCCGTTTCAGTGAGTTTTTACTTTCAGGCCAAATGGCTATCTGTACCTTTGCCTTACCCTGCAAGGAAGAATTGATGGCCTGATAAGACTTCGCATGGTCATTTATATTTTTGGAGTCTTAGACTTTATAAAACAAGCAAAACAGTAGGCTACTCACATCATTTGGATACTTAGTTTCAAAAAATTTTTTTTACTTGAGTTTTTTTCCTTCACTTTGAAAGGTAATTTAAGTTTTGATTCTAGTGTGCTAAGAAATGTTCTTTTCTAGTATTTTTTCACAAGTATTTATCAGTGTTAAAAAAACAACCAATTTCTAAGTGTAGAAAATAAGTAACATTTCTAAGTGTAGAAAATAAGTGTGAAATAGCAGAAATTCTATCAAAAAGAGCAACAAATTGACTTGCTGTGTTTTTGGTTTTTAGTCTCATTTCCTCTTCCTTTTAGAAAAAAAAAGTGTTGAAGTAAAAGGGATTTATGAAAATTCAATAATTTGGGCAGTATACCTGCTTAATTCCTTTAAGAGTGTTTTAAAGGTTACCTTTAAACCTCATTTAATCTAAGTAATTGGAAGCTTGTATAGGTATCCCTTTCACAATACAAAGTTTTATATTAGAAGATGATTTATAAATGCATTTTAAGGGTGACTGGGTGATGGGCACTAAGGGGGGCACTTGATGGGATGAGCGCTGGGTATTATTCTATATGTTGGCAAATTGAACACCAATAAAAAATAAATTAAAAAAATAAATAAATGCATTTTAAGGAATAAGAAATAATGAAACATTAGTGGAGTCAATCAGTGAATTGATCTTTATCAAAAGAAATAAAAAGGATTGAGGGAAATGTAAGTTTTTTGTACTTATGTGAAGTTTTATAGAAAATTAAAAAGTCAATTCTTAATTTCTTGGCTACTAAAACTTGTGTTTCGAGTGTACAGTGTGGAAATATGGAAATTTTCTTAGACTTTCCCTGTGATTTGATGAGAATACATAGTTTTAAAGAAACATATAAACATAAGGATTTATGATTTTATATATTGACAATGGTACTGAATGAAGAACATTTACTGAATGAAAAAACATTCTTAGAACAAATAATGGGTACATTTCTCATTTAGCCATCTTACCAAACTCCAGAAAGTTATATATCAGTTCCAACTGGGCTATCATAAACAACCAAAGATCCTCCTGATTCATATTTTATCTGAATTTTTAGATTTGTATATTGGCCATCTTAAAATGAACCTTTCAGTAATTCATAGACCTCAAGGAATATGAACATCCACTAAAATTTTATGTAAAATTTTGTGTGCAGTTAGATGTAAATGCACTTTTCTGATATGGTATCAAAGTTGTCCATGACCTAAAAAAAAAAAAAAAGAGGGATCCCTGGGTGGCGCAGCGGTTTGGCGCCTGCCTTTGGCCCAGGGCGCAATCCTGGAGACCCGGGATCGAATCCCACATCGGGCTTCCGGTGCATGGAGCCTGCTTCTCCCTCTGCCTGCGTCTCTGCCTCTCTCTCTCTCTCTGTGACTATCATAAATAAATAAAAATTAAAAAAAAAAAAAAAAAATTTAAAAAAAAAAAAAAAAAAAAAAAGAGAGAGAGAGAGAGAGAGAGAGAGAGATTAAGAACAATTGAATTCTATATGGCTTCGACAGCTTGTATTTTAGCTGATGACTATGACAATGCTTTCGTCTTGTAGTTAATCTTAATATTTTGCATCATCACTAATTCATCTCTCCCTTTCTCTTATTCTCTCCACCCCACTCCCACCCCACAGGTCCTCCTGTAAGTATATTTGCTGCATTTGGGCTCTTCTACATTAATCAGGATCACGTATGTTAAAACCTTGTTAAGACATCCAAATATAATCTTTATTTCAATTAGAAAAATGTTACTGACCTTTGAAGAATATTTAACGTTGGGAAATTATTTTTTAAGTACACTATCTTGGATATGTTGAAGTACAAAATGTGTCAATGAAGAAAAAAACTTTATTTTTAATAGTATCACAAACCAGTTACTCTCCTGGGACTTTTGGAATAACTTATGAAGCTCCTGATATTAAATACTTTTCCTGGAATTCTGAGGTTTCTCTTGCAAGCAAATCCCCAAGCTATTTCGCACTTCTTTTTTCATCTGTTTAAACTTGTATCTGAAATATTTGCATTTGCCAGTCCACCAAATGTAGATGGCAACATGATCATGGAAATGATACCCCCCCGTGGGCTTGGTCCCATACTCCCTCCTTAGGCAACACTCCCTTTGAAGTCTGTTGGAGTTTGCCTGCATAAAGAACATGAGATGGAGCCCTTAGAGAGTTGCACTTTCTTTTTTCTTTCCTTGAGTAGGTCAGAGCTGCAGAATTCCAGCCTGCTTTGCACTCACAGGAACAGATTATCTTGTCAGCTTTGAGCTAGATGTGTTTTTGAGTAATAATATCCTGGATATCTGTTGTCTGACCCCAGTGTTTGTATTGTCCACTGTACATTTACGGTAGCAATGATCATTGGCCTTGAGATATTTTCTCATCCCGAATAGCCAGTTTGCTCCAGGGTTCAAAGACTCCACATTGGCAACTTATCTAAAGGCCAGCATGGTCCGGGGAGAGGGGCTTAGCATATACTCGTTTACTTTATTCAGAGGAAGCATTGGCTTCCAAATATCTTTTGCAGTCTTCCTGCCACGTTCAAGGGTGGAACATAAATCATGTTAGGAGTGGCTTTGCTTCTGTAACTGACTTTCAACTCCTGCTTAATGCTAGGCAGATGGCATGGCCCACGTCGAGGAGTCTTATTCTTTGACTTCATATTTAAGCCTCTGTCTTTAAAACTAGAAACAAACCACTAGGAAACTCTAAAGATTACAACCAGGATAGAGTGTTCAAGACCTTTTTTTGGTGGATGTAAGTTGTAGACATGCCAAGAGATAGTTAAATCTTGCTTCTGTTGTACGGTGACATTCCAGGTTCTAGTATTTCCTCTTTGGCTCTTCAGAAGTTTCAGCAACCATATAGCTCTGGCTTTCTTGGGGTTATCTATTAGTCCAGGTCCTCCACTAAAGATTTAATTGCCTTTTCCTTTCTTATTATATAAAAATAAAATAGAACCAATATGTTTAAGCCCTGAGTACAGGCATACCTGGGAGATATTGTGGGTTTGGTTCCAGACTACTGCAATAAAGTGAGTATCACAATAAAGTGAGTCAAATGAATTTTTTGGCTTCCTTGTGCATATGAAAATTATGTTTACATTATACTGTAATCTATTAAATGTGTAATAGCATATGTCAAAAAATATGGTAACTGCTTAATTAAAAAATATTTTATTGCTAAAAATGCTAACTACCATCTGAAATTTCAGTGAGTCACAATCACTGACCAGAAATCACCACAACAGATATAAAAATAATGAAATAAGTTTGAAATATTGTGAGAATTACCCAAATGTGACACAAAGACACAAAGTAAGCAAATGCTGTTAAAAAAGTGCTCCTATGGACTTGCTTGATGCAGGATTGTCACAAACCTTCAATTTGTATTTAAAAAAAACCCCACTAAACCAAAAAAAAAAAAATCACTATATTTGTAATTTGAAATGTAATATAATGAGGTATGTCTGTATACGCCAAGCAATATTCTAGGCACTTCACACACATTCTTTCATTTTGTCTCACAAAATTCCTGGTGTTACCATTCCCATTGCTCAGTAAGGAAAAGACTCACAGAGGGATCCCTGGGTGGCGCAGCGGTTTGGCGCCTGCCTTTGGCCCAGGGCGCGATCCTGGAGACCCGGGATCGAATCCCACGTCGGGCTCCCGGTGCATGGAGCCTGCTTCTCCCTCTGCCTGTGTCTCTGCCTCTCTCTCTCTCTCTGTGTGTGACTACCATAAATTAAAAAAAAAAAAAAGAAAGAAAAGACTCACAGAGATTAATTACCAATGGTTGCACCAGTAGAGAGGATTTACAAAGTTGGAATTCAATTAAATGTGTCTGATTTTAAACTCTTTCCACTTACCACATTATCTGTATTCCTTATGAATTATGAGTGTGTTACAATATGGATCATTGTTTTGCAGGTTGGGCAGGCAATGGTCAAGTCATATTCCTTGATATAAATAATTATATATAATAAAAACATGCCCAAAATGTAAAGTGGTCAATCCATAAAATAAGCATTCATACTGTCCCATCTTGACTGCATTTTGAAGAAGTTATAATATATTTAGTGTACAGCATCAAATCCAAGAAATAAGTTTTCATACAGACTAAAAGGCTACAATGGAATAATTTTATGATAATGTATGTATGAATATCAGGTACTTTTTTCTCTTTTCTTTTTCATAAAGATAACATGTATTAAAATATTGCTCTGAAGGAATCCATGAAGGTGCTTTGAGTGCCTAGCTCGGTTATCATAAATGTGTTAGCCGGAATGATTTGCCTGACCATTGTGTTACCTGATTGCATATGACATGACATTGTACCTTCCATTTGGGATATCTTAAAAATACATTCATGTTTCAATAAGAAGCAAAGAGTAAGATTAAAATTTACAAAGTGACTTCAGAGTTTTCAAAGGTAGCCAGTTTTGCACTATTTTGGACTGTTTTTAGAGTCAAAGGGGGATGTGGTTTCTCTGTCCTTTTGCCCCCAAAGGAAGTGCTTTTCTAATACTCATGGGTAGCAGATTCAAACAAGTCCTCTAGCTGTAGCCAGAAGAGAGTCAGGAGAGCTGCTTTAACTGGCTTTTTATTTGTATCAGTCTATCAAACCACATAATTTTGCTTGACTGACAGAGATATGATGTTATTGTTGGTAGCACAGAACCCTCTGAGGTGTGAAATACGACGCTCTCGTGCAGCCTGTTCTCTCCCATCTACCTTCAGCAATTGTCAACTCAATTTGAAGCCCAGAATCTTGTTGACAGATGAATGAAGCAGAGTTAGCCAAGTTAAGTTTACAATGCTATTTCTGCCAATGTGGTAGATGAATTAGGAAAAGAAATCTCTGAGGAAATTTTAGATGAAAAACTCTGATATCTTTACTTCAGATTGAAGAAAACAATATGACTTTTAAGTCAATAGTAAATCTTTTCCAGATACACTAATAATTACAGTTTATGGTAAACTTAGTACCACGTGTCACTTTACAGACCAATTCTCATACCAGCCCCGTGAACTAGAGATTTGTGGTACCCGTTTTACAAACTAAGAAACTGGGCGTTGGGCAGGTCAAGCAATTTTGCCCAAGTGCTTACATTTAGCAGTAAGTAGAACCAAAATTTGAACAAATGTCGTCCCTATCTCTCTTCAAAGCCCATTACCCCCTCACCCATATTTCTATAAGGTGTTTTTCAGGCAAGTAAGGTTTGAGATTTACCACTTGCTTTGCAAATACCTTTTGTGGTGTCTTATCCTACACCTTCTGTTATCTACAGTTCCTATTAAGCTTCTCTTAGTTATCTGTAGATCTCCCATTTTCCTTGAGTTCTTTCATACTGCTGGTTACTCAAAACAAGTTTATAAATCATCTAATTCACATCTAATGTGTAGTTCTATGAGCTTTGCCTCTGAGTCAGGAGAATTAAATATAAAATTGTCTTGAAGAATTTCAGAAAATTTTCCTTTAATTTCGTCTTCGTTATATTCCTGCTTATTAAAATATTTTTCTTCCTATTTGGACTTAGAGATTATGCTTTTCGATGTAGAAACTTATTTTTTCTATAATTATAGGACATTATTGTTGACAGAGCAAATCATTTATCTTACAGAAAACAGAATCACTACAATATACTAGGATGGCTAGATAAATTCAAATGTAGTCACCATAACAAACCAAAGAAACAGACAAAACAAGCCTGGAGAATTAGTTTGCGTTTAAAGGCTGTTTGGGGACAGGGCTATAATAGAATGACCATAGGCTGTCACAGATGGGTAGTTCATTTTGGGACACTGAACCCAGGTTTGTCTCTTGGAACAAAAGGTAGAAAAGGAGGATATAACTATAATTCTTACATAGAATAGATTCCCCAGTGTCTTTTTATGTCTTCTGTTTTGAGACATTCAATCTGCCATGTTTGAAAAGGGAACTGTGCTCAGTGGCAATTTGTTTCAATGCTTCCTCTCATATTATTTATGTAGATTTAGTGCCAGATTAAGCAGAACTTTGGAATTCTGGAAAAGGACAAGATAATGGGTAAGAACCCACAAATTGGGGTAATTAAAAGTGTTAAAGTTTTAAAAGGGGGAGAGGAGGAAATAGATATACAAAAATATTGACAATGGTTTTTTTTGCTAGGTTATTTTTTTCTAGTGGTTTATTTCTAGATGCCATATGTTTTAGAATAACTGTAGCTATTATAACAGACAAACCCTGAGATGTTAGTAGCTTACCGTAATATACATTTATTTCTTACGCATGATAGGACCCAGAGTGATGAAGACTGCTATCTTTCATACGTGTGTTCTAAAGTTACCCTGAGCATAGATAAGCAGCCCTCAGATAAGAAAAATAAGGAAAAAGAGTGAAAGGTTAGATAGAAGGATTTTCTTTGGCCAGCACTTGAAGTACAGGGTTTTATGGTTTATATCACTTTTGACCACATTCCTTTGGAAAGATATCTTCACACATAACTGCAAGAGAGATCAAGAAATGTAGCTGTGGGCTCAGAAGAAAAGGTAAACAGATTTGGTGAATAGCCAATCTCTGCTGTCCTGTCTGGAAATAGTTCCCTAAGAAAAAAAAATGTTAAAAATGAATAGAAAGAGCCATAAATCCTCAGAGAGAT